TCACCTCCAACAAGATATCAATCGACCTCATCTGATAAAATGCATTTGCATCTCAATGGACAAGAACAGTTTCCATCACAATCAGTTTTCCACAACTTCCAAAATAACAAAACAGCTTAGAGACCATGTAAGTTACAAACTCCTATAGAAACAGACATCCGTGTGCCAAGTAACACCTAATAGATAATTAGAAGGACACCTGGTCATCTTTTCTGCCTGTTTTAAAGTGTCTCATCATCTTCCCTGGCATGGCTTAGCCAGGTGTGCATCTCTGAAAGCCCACTTAAATTCAGAAGGCCTCAATCTCCTCATCTGCAAAGTGGGATGAGAGCACAAAACCCTTCAAGCTCTCAGCAGACAGCAGCTCCGGAAGGTGCTGCTTCAGGTTTTACAGATGCTTCCGCACCTCCTGAGCTTCTTCCCTCTACCTCAGCACCACATCTGAGCTCGTTGGTCTTAGGAGGGCCCTGCCACTGTCCTCACACCCCACCAAGCGTGGACGTCTTTCTTCATCCCCCACTTAACACTACCGACACACGTTCAAGAGGACGGATGGATGGCGGACTGGAAGACAGGAGTTGGCATAGGTGACTTAGTGGGAGGACGGATGGGTGAATGAGTGGATAAATAGAGAGATGACAGGAGGATGGGAGAAAGGATACGTGAATTCATGGGAGGATAGATGAGTGGACAGAGAGATGGATGAATGGATGGATCAATCAATTCCGATGCCTGCATGTCTAAGCCTAGGGCTCAGTCCTTAGGTTGTCTTTGCAGCCTGGGCTCTGCTCACAGTTCTGCTGCCTGCCGGCGACTCCCGAAATTCAACATGTATAACGTCACACTCATAACTTTCTTCCCCAAACTTGATCCCTCCCAGTGTGCTGCTCTTCAGCGAACGGCAACACTGTCCATCCCGCTGCACCAGCCAGAAATCTAGGCATCATCCCTGATTCCATCCACTCCCGCCACGCCCATACCCAAGACATCACCACGTCTTATTGATTCTCCCTTCAACATCTATCTCCAACCGGTTCGTCTCTCTCCAGCTCCAGGGCCACCATCACTTCCCTCCCTGGCTAGTGTGCTCACCACCTCTCAGCCTCCCCGCCTCCATTCCGTCTTGCCCCCAACTAACTCCCCACTACCAACAAAGCAATCTTCTCAAAACGCAGGTCTGGGGACTTCACTGGTGGTCCAGTGATTAGGATTCCGCGCTTAGAATGCAGGGGGCGCGGGTCCGATCTCTGGTGGGCAAACTAAGATCCCACATGTCACGCAGCCAAAAAACCCCAAAAAACAAACATAGGTCTGATTATGCCACCACCACTCCTCCAATATTGTTTAAAACATTCTTATGCCTTCCACTGCTCTCAAGATCGAAAGCAGTCCTGTCCCCTGCCCACTTTTCCCGCCTCGTCCCACACCCCGACAAGGGCAGACCTCCCGAAACATTCATTCACATGCTTCCCAAACTTGTGGCACGTCTCATCATGGCAACTTGACATTTATCTGTCACTCCGTGGTTAATGTCTGTCACCTCCTCTAAGCAGTAAGCCCCACAAAGGAGAGACCATGACTATTTTGGCTTTGTTTTGGGGTCAAGCAGGCTTGCGTGCAAATCTGGGTTCTGCCCCTAATTAGCCATGTGAACTTGAACAAGTTACCCAGCCTCCACAAACCTCCTTCCTGCACAATTAAAAAAAAAAAAAAATGGAGAAAATATTGTCCCCCTCCACAGGATACCATAAGGACGGAATTGAATAATGCACGTAGAGTGGTTGACAGAGGGTGTGGTCACTGGGAGGACGTGTCATGACTGGCTGGGAACAGCAGCAGAAAGGTGTGCATGCAGACCCTGCTCACCCCGCAGCCAGCTGACCCTGAAATGAGCTCTACCCTGAGTACAAATCTTCAAGCAGGCCCAGAAATAGGCTCCCCGAGATGGGCCTCGGCGGATAAGAGAGGAGGGGCTGACTTTTACACTCATTACCTGGGGACCTTCTCTCAGGGCCCTGGAAGGGTGGCTTCCCTCCTAACAGGAGACAGCGAGGGGCAGCCTGCCCCAGCCCTCCACCTGGGAGAAAGGGTGTTCGGGGCCTATTCAGTGCCCAGAAGGGTTTAGGAACCCAGAGACCAGCCTTCTTAACAGGTCCATTTCTTTAATTCCCCTCCTCCCTCATGAGCCTACGGTGGCTCCCGGCTGCCTACAGCATCAGGTACAGTCTCCTCTACCTGGAATCCCACCTCCATCCTCCGTCTGGCACCTGGCACCCCAGAGCCCACCCTTCTCCATCCCGGAAAGCCGTCTGTCTTCAGGTGTCCCTCTCTAAATCCTCCCCCACCCCTCAAACCCCACCCCCTCCGTCTTCCAGAAAGCCCTCTAGGACTGACCCAGCCCGCACTCATTTCCGTCTCTTCTGAGGGCCTTGGGCCTGATGCCTCCAATGAAAGCCTAAGCTCTGATGTAAAACAGACCCATCTGGATGCAGTCCCCAGCTTACTACTGTTAAAAGATACATTTTTTTAAAGGATAAAATCATGAATGGTATACAAATATAAAATAAACAACACATGTCAAAGATTTCATTTAACGGATTAATTACTTAGGGAAAAATAAGACATTATACACAATTTAAAGGAGAATCTGAAGCACAGCCACAAGTATAGCTTTTAGCCCCCTCTCTACAAGATCTCAATTGACTTCACCTGATCAAGTGTATTTGCATCTTAATGGACAAGAACAATTTCCCATCACAATGAGTTTTCTACAACTTCCAAAATAATAAAACAGCTTAGAGACCATGAAAGCTACAAACTGCTATAGAAACAGACAACCATGTGCCGGGTAACACCGAATAGTCAATTCGAAGGACACCTGGTAATCTTTTCTGCCTGTTTTAAAAGTGCTTCATCATCTTACCTAGAGTGGCTTAACCAGGAGTGAATCTCTGGAAAGTCACTTAAATTCGGTGGGTCTCAGTCTCCTCATCCGTAAAGTGGGGTGAAAGCACGAAACCCTCCATGCTCTCAGCAGAGAGCAGCTCCAGAGGGGCTGCCTCAGGCTTCCCAGATGCTTCCCTGCCCCCAGCTTCCTCTCTCTCCTTCAGCACCACCTCAGAGCTGGTTGGCCTTGGGAGGGCTCTGGTCCCTGACCCCACCTGCCACCAGGCAAGACCAAGCCCTCTTCGCTTCCTTCATCCCCCTTAACATGTTCAAGGGGACCAAGAGCAAAAATCAGAGGGAAAGAGGAAAGATCTTTTTAAAGCTGGTGGGTTAGGTTTTCCTCCCTCACCTTGTTCTCTTTTTAGAGCATGGTGTACTCCCCACCCCCAAAGCCAAGGCAATCTGGAGAGCCGGGCCCTCTGTAACGTAATTCAAGGCTGGGAAGATGCTTTTGACATAATTCTGTATAAGGGATATACTAGTACAAGGTAACCTTCCTGAAGGGTGTGATGGGATTGACTGATTGCCGCGCGGCTTGCGGGATCTTAGTTCCCCAACCAGGGACTGAACCTGCACCCTTGGTAGTGAAAGCGCAGAGTCCTAATCACTGGACCGCCAGGGAATTCTCTGTGCTGGGTTTTTTAGACAGATATCCCACCCAGAGGCCAGACCATCCTGATGGCCCTTCCTCCTTCCCTCCTCCACCCTTAGTATCAGAAGATTCCCCCCAACAATAGACTTGATAAGTTGACCATACCTATGAGTGACAGGGGTAATACAGAGCGCACTCTAGGGCAGGTCCCCACAACCTGGCACCTCACTGTCCTCAGATGGCACTGCATAACCTCTCCCAGGCTCCTCCCTCCAGCCTCCCTACCCCGCCCTTTGGTGTAGCAGACACTACATATCACTGTGCTTCCCTGGTGCCCAGGAAATGTCCCTCCTGCAAGTCTGACCCCATACAGAAGAAAGCTTCAAAACTATATGGACATACCCACTGAAATCAAGAATAATCACAGGCATGCACAAACTTACCCATGAGGATGTTCATTGTGGTGCTGTCTAGAAGTGTGAAAAACTCAAAACTGAATGCCCAGCAGTAGAGAACTGGTTAAATAAAATACAGTACGGCCATCGGATGCAACGCTAGGCAGCCATGAGAAGTGTGACACAGAAGAGGAGTTAGCAAGCTCACTCCATTAGGGACACGTAGAGATGTGAGATTGAAAAGAAAGAAAAAGAAACCTCAACATTAACAGTGACCAGCTTTCCTGTTCTTTTTTCACCTTTTTATGTTTCTCCAGTGTCCTGTTTATGGATGTAGAGACAGGAAAATCAATATAAGCCAACTCCCCAAACCTAGACCCCCAACACCACCATGCCCAGTGGAAACCAATTCCCATTCCGGGTTCCAGTGTGAAGATCAAGCCAGATTTGCCAGCCCAGCGATGCTCCAACAGAGGGTAGAGGCGGATGAGCTCTTTATCAGCTAGAGCCTTCCACAAGGCCGTGCCACAAAATACACATACACACAGTCTTGCCAAAGGGGACAGGCTACAGGTAAAGCCACTCAACAACCAGAATATCCATCCTGCACAGATCAGCAGGTGTCTGCTTAGGAAGGTCAAGGTCACTTTTAGGAGGGTTGCACAGGGGGGCACAGCCCTGGCCTGGGAGTCCTAGAGCCTCCAATCCTAGCTGTCTAGCCCTGGCCTGCCCCTGCTTTCTCCAGTCCTTTATTTTTTCATCCATAAAATAAATGCATGGGGTTGGACAAAGGGCCCCTCAGGTTCCATTTCTTAGGACTCAGAAATGTTTCCCTTTATTCTGGCCCCATGCCCCACATAGCACACATGCCTCCTGATGGCCCCAGATGGAGCTGGAATCCCTCAGCCTGGGTCCCTCCACCGCCCCTCAGTCTGGGGGATGGGGTAGGCAGTGCAGGAGGCAGAGCCCAGAATGAACAGTTACCAAAGGGGGCTGGGAAGTGTCCTTACCCACCAAGGCTCTAGACCATGCAGGTCTCTCTGCCTCCACCCAGGGAAGCCCAAGACATGGTGACTGTCAGAGGTGGGCTGGAGGGAGGTTTGTTTTCTCCACCAGAGCCTACTCTGCTCCCACCCTCCCTGCAGTGCCACTGCCTGCCTGGCTTCTCTTCCACACCATCCCTATGGCTCCTCCCCTTCCCCAAGTTTTATCATCAGTATGTGCAGCTCCTTATCCTCATGTTTTATTTTTGACAACCACTTATTAGCTGCCATCGACAAAATGGGGGTCAGGAGAATTATCAACAAAGTATCTCATCAATTCATCCATCAAATTTAGAGTGCATGCTCTGTGCAGGCCCCCAAGGGTCTCCCTCCTGGGACTCCCAGTTAAGTAGGGGAGATTAAATAAATGATTCCACAAATAACTGGAAAGCACCAGGACTAGCAAGAGCGCAATAAACCGGAGCTCTAGTGTAGTAAAGAAAGGGAGGTCTGGCGGATGGGGCTGGGCTTGTCCAAGGCCCCAAAGTAGAGTGGGAACAGGGCAGGTCCGTAAGCCAGGAGCCCCTCCCTGAGCCAGGCACCCCTTGATGAAGGCATGCATCTGCCAGGGTCAAGCTCTATGCCCAAGGTTTGGGGATAGAGGGATACAGAGGGCACAGGATCAGGCCAGGAGTAAAGGAAATAGGCAAGCTGGTCCCTCAGGAGAGGAAGGCTTCAGCCGGGCCTAGCTGACATCCCCGAACACCCTAGAACTCACCGCGCGGCACTGGGAGCAGGAGGCTCTGCCAGGCTCGTCTGCCCCTCCCAGTGGCCGTGACAGGGGTCCCCTGCCCGGATGCCCAGGCTTGCCTCTGAACAACCTGTCTGGCTGTCCTGCCCTGCACGTATCGTTTGTCTGCTCTTCTCTGCACATGTCTGAGTCTGCGCCTCTGCTCCCGCCTATCTGTATGTCACTCTCTACACACGCCTGTCCGTCTGTCCTCACACGTCTGGCTGGCACGCCGGCCTCCCTGCATCTCTCGGCCTCCTCGCCGCGCCGCCCCGCCTGCCGCTGTGTGGGTGTCGGGCTGGCAGTCCGCAGAGGGGCGCGGCTCGGCCCTCCCCCTCCGCCGCGTCCCCCCAGCTCAGGAATGACCCGGGCGGCGGCCCAGCGCTGCTGAGGCCCCGGAGCCGCGGCGCAGGGCGGCGGGAGCGGGCGGCCGTGGCGTGGGCGGCGGCGCTGGGCCGGCGGGCGGCCGGGCGGGGCTGAGGCAGGGCCGGGGCCGGAAAGCCGGGAAGCCGCCGCCACCGCCGCCGCCTCGGCCGGGGATCTCGGTCGCCGGGTGGGCTCGGCAGGGCCCCGCCCCGCCACGCCCCTGCGCGCCGAGCAGGCCGAGGCGGAGCGGCGCGCCCCCCGCGACGCCGGAGCCCGAGCCCGAGCGCAGCGGCATCCAAGCGGGAACCGGACCGGGAGCGGAGCCAGAGCGGGAACCTGAGCTGGAGCCGAAGCTGGAGCCGGCAGTGCGGCGCACGGAGCGGAGCGAGGCAGCCAAGCCGAGTAAGGGGCGTGGGGCCGGGGGCGGCGCTGGGGAGGGGCGGGGAGGGGGTCCCGGCCCCCTCCCCCGCGCTCTGCTGCGGCCCCGGCGCAAGCACACACCCGGGGTCGCTCAGCGCGGTCCGCGGCGGATCCGCAGCGCGCTCCGAACAGGATCCCCGCTCTCCCGCGGACCCCGGCCCCGACCCCGCGCCCCCGGGCGGGCCACCGGGACTCGCGCGGGCCGTGGCTGCCCCTGAGCATGCCATCGGGCCGCAGGGACGGAGAGGTCTCCCGGGTCTTGCCCGACTTGAGTCCCAAACAAACATCCACCCCACGGAGGGAGCATAAGACAGTCTTCACGACCCCACGCCCTCGGTTTCGCGGACCCCTGAACAACCCACCCAAGAAGGGTACACTAGGACGCACTTTTGGTCGGGGTAGGAGAGGAAGGGGGCTCCGGGCTTTGTGGAGTTTTAAGCTAGAACCCACCCCCGACCCTCGAGCCGGGAAGTTTGACCCTCCAACGGGCGGGCCACCAGGGCCATGCCCCCGCTTCGATGCCTACCACGTTGGCCTGTCTCAGCACCATCGGTGGGAGAGGTGGTGTCCCCGCCGCACCTTCTCCAGCTCCAGGGCCGACTTTCCCTGGCGCAGTAAGCGGGACTCGAGGCTGAGTCCGAGGCAGCTGCTCTGGCTGGCTGCGCAGCGCCAAGCGGTACAGCCGCCTCTCCCTAATCGCTCTCGGAAGTTGGGTAGTGCCCACCAGACCCACGGCAGACTCGCACGACCCTCCCCCTCTCCCCATCGGCCCGGCGGTCCTGAGGCTGGCGCGGAGGACCCAGGGCTGCCCTCCTGATCCCACACGCCGTGCCAGCGGAGATGGCCAGGCCCAGACTGGGAAGGGGAGGGCACCAGTGACAGGTGTGAGCGGCGGGGGCTCCACGAGCTTGGTCCTTGGTCTTGATTCACACAGTCCACGGGCACCTGCCTTGAGCAAGCCCCTCCTGACTCTCCTCAAACATCCTGACCGCTCTACTGGAACAAGTGGCTTCACCTCCCTGTGCCTCAGTTGCCTCCGCTGACAAGTAGGTAGGATTCTGTCGTTAGCAGAGTGTTTAAGGGCTTTGGAACCATAGGGTGGGCTTGGCTGACTTCCTAGCCGTGTGATGTTAGGCAAGATACTTAACCTCTCTGAGCCTCAGTTTCCCCATCTGAAACATGGGGAAGGTGGGTTGGGAGGATTCAGTGAGGTGATGCTTGTAGGGGGCCTAGCATGGTGCTTGGCACTCAGCCATCACTCAATTCAGGTTGACTACAGGTGTCGTTCTGTGAAGCATGCAGCACCAGTGGATGCTGAGGCACAGCGAGTTGCCCTGAGGTGGCGGCGACACGACCCCCTCCCAACCCCCCAAGCCCCCCTCCAAGGAGGCCTTTGAATCCCCCAAGGGCTTGTTGACATCTAACTGCAGTGCAAATCCCTCTCTTTAGGGCCTGCCCTTTCTCAGCTCTTCCCTCCTCCCTGGGAGCTCTGCTTCCCAGTGGTGTTCGCCTCCCTACCTGTCATCTCCATCCAGGTTGGGAATGACCGTATCTGATTAGCTCTTTCTTCTGCCCTTGACTGATGTCCGCTGCTCACACTCTGTGCGAGGGAATTCACACCTCCCTCCACTCTGGGGCCTGGGGCCCAGGGAGGACTGCTTTCCCTGCGGAGCAATCAGACAGTCAGGTGGCTTGGGTGTTCCAGTGGTGACAGTTCAGACAGGCAGTGAAGAGCCGCAGGGGGAGCAGCCACCAGGGCAAGGAGACAGTGGGAAGTCGGAGGGGTCCCAACCCTGAACCTGCGCTGACCGTGGTGTGTTCATCCAGGCGACTGGGCCACGAGGCACCAGAAATGATAACCCTTGGGGAGGAAATGGAGCCCGTGGCTGACTGAGAGGTTAGAAGTTCAGAGCTGGAAGGGCCCCAGGAAGAGATCTGCCCAGTCTGTGCAGCTGAGGCTTCAGACCCAGAGCAGAACCAATGAGGCCCAAGGCCTGGGAGAGGGTGCTGGAATTCTTGGGGTGGCATGGAGGGTGTAGGTAACCAGGAGCATTGTTGGGAAGAAAACAAGTGTCCAGCTTGTGGACACTCGTGTTAGTCCTGCTCACCTGTGCCCCAGCTGTGAGAACGGGGGGATGGGGGGGTCTGTCCACATGCTGCCTGCTGGGGACCTAGTGAGACTGGCAGAATGGGCTGCCTCCTGGGGGCTGTTTCTACACAAAAACCCCCTCTGCCGTCTTCTTCCTCTGTAGCCTACTCCCACCCCTCCCCCATTCACCCACCAGGGTGTCACATCCCAGCATCTTCCATAATCCTCACCTCTTCTTCCCAAAGGAGTTCATCAGAAACTAATTTAGGAGGTTTGTGTCACCTGGTTCACATAGTGGAGTACAGCCAGGCAGCAACGTGATGGGGATACGGGCACCTCCTTCAGTCTTGGGGAATAATCAGTTAGACACACTCAGACGCCTGTTACCTGAAGCCTTTGCCCTGGAAGTGCTCACAGCACAGGGTAAGGGACGAGAAGGTGGCAGCCAGCTCTCAGCCTCCTAAAGGGAGAAACTGAAGCCAGGAGGGCTTCTGAATCCCCCTGGCACAAAGTACAGTTGTAGCTGGGAGCACAGCTTCTTGGAGCTGGGTTTATGGCTTGTGATTCTGGGCAGGAGATTTACCTTTCAGAGCCTCAATTTCCTCTTGAAAAGGGGAACAAATAGTCTACATCTCCCAGTATAGTTGTGAGGACTGGAGAAACAATATACAGGAAACACGTGGCAGTGACGAATGGACCCCTCGCAATGGCCTTGCTATGTCTGCATTATGAACATGCACTGAATGCATGCTCTTTCCCAAGCATAAGTATTTTCTCTCTGGAGTCTGAGGACAGCCCTCTGATCTAAGTACTATAATTGCCCCTATTTTATAGATGAGAACACTGAGGCTTAGAAAGGTTACGGACTAACTTTGCTAAGTACAGAAAACTCAAAACATCACTATGACTCATCATAATTTTATGAGTTTGTAAAATTGATAATTAGCACATTGCATCTTAGCTGATATGCAATTAGTTAATGGAATGCTTCCTCAATGGATATCTTCAATCATTGTATCTTTGTGTGTTAATTGCCCATGGGCTATAGAATTTTTAGAGACATCTTCATTTTTTTTCTATTCAAACAGTATCAAACTGATTTAAAAGAGCAGCTCCCCCCACATTTATTCCCTATCTCTCTTCTCTCCATTTTTCTCCATAGTGCTTATCACCCCCAACATCTATATATCTTACTCATTTGTTTGTTGTCTGCCCTCATCAATATAATGTAAACTCCCCAAAGGCAGGGACTTTTAACCATTTTGCTCACTCTCATATCCCCAGAGACTAGAACAATAACCAGCACTTCGTATGCTTTGCAAATTATAAAGTGTTTTACAAACATAAGGTCTATTATTGTTACTATTATTGCCAAGTGTATAGCTTGCCTGAAGATAAAGCTTAAGGTTCATGGCAGAAACTGTTCTCTCAAAAATCTGGCAAATAGGACCTGCTCAAGCGCCAGGGAAAATGTGATGAAGGTTAAAACCAGTGGAGATTATTTTCCTAACATGTTAATAAAGCTCCTTATCAGTAAGTTCAAAGACAAATTAACTTTTTTAAATTTTGGCAATAAAAAATGGCATGTTCAAAGGCAATTAAATTAGCGTTTAAAACTTCCAATGAGTTAACTATCACTGATTTATTCATTTAATTATTATTTTGTTAGCATAAAAGGTGTTTTCAAATCTTCATTTTAATAATTTTTCAGATTATAAAAGTAATACATGTTCGTTGAAGAAAATTTGGAAAATCATTCTTAAAAAATAAAAGAACAAAAAATAAAAGAAAAGAACATAAAAAGCCTCCTCAATCCCAGCACTGCCCAGAGAGTACGTGACTGTGGATATTTTAGTCTATTTCCTTTTAATCTTTTTCTATGTGTGAATATTTTCTCTAGTTTTTTTTTTTTTTCCTTACAAAATAAGGATCATATTGTAGGCAGAGTTCTAGAACCTGCTTACCTGGTGGGGTTTTTCCCCCCTCTTAACAGTATACTGAAAGTCTTTTATGTTATTAAAATTTCTTTAAAAACATGATTCCATGGCTATACAATATTCCATTATAAGCGTATGCCAAAATTTTCTCAGCCTCTCCTCTCTTATTGGACACTGGGGTTGCATCCCATGTTTCACCACTGTAATAATACTTTTCTATGCCCTCTTTGGTGTTTTCTGGGCCCTGAATCAGGCTTCTCTACACCCTTGCTCAGGACCTATTTGCTGATTTGCAGATGGACCGGTTTATGTAGTTAGTCAGTATGTCAAGTCTTAGAAGTTGGGCCTTGGTGGCAGCGGGGAAGGCAGCTGATCCAATAGAGGACTACTCCAGGTAAATTGCGGGGAACCTGAAGACCCAGTAACCACGCATTTCCTGACCAACCCAGTGTAGCACACATGTGGCCAGATGATGCATGGGGACAGAAGGCCTCCTTGCTGCAGAGGCTGCCACACACTTGGATCCCTTTTCTAGCATCACGACCAAGTTACTTGTTTGCAAACCTCCGTGTCCTCTGCCAGCCTCTCTGCCACCGTCCTCTCACTCTTTTTCATTTGCTTCTTCATTTAATCACATGATAAACGTTTACAGGCATACCTCGTTTTATTGCTCTTCATAGATATTGCTTGTTTTTACCAACTGAAGTTTTTGAGCAACCTTGCGTCAAGCAAGTCTTATCCGTGCCATTTTTCCAACTGTATTTGCCCACTTCATGTCCCTTATGTCACATTTTGGTGATTCTCACAACATTTCAAACTTTTTCATTGCTGTTGTATTTGCTGTGGTGATCTGTGACCAGTGATTTTTTTTTTTTTTTTTTTTTTTGCAGGTAGATTCTTAACGGCCTCTCACTGTTGTGGCCTCTCCCGTTGTGGAGCACAGGCTCCGGACGTGC